GCAATTTTTGAAATGTTTTAGGCCTTATCATTTATAAATCCAAATCCTACAGAATTAGGATTCCAGATAATAGAAGTCATTTCACCAAAAGTCCAAGAAGTCTTTAGTGTCTGCCAAGATTATCTAAATTAAAAACGAAACAACAAACAAACACAGTGAAACAAAACAAAAACTCCCCATGAATAGGACAGCAGTTTGGCAAGCAGTCAATCTCCTCTTGCAGATGAAAACGCCACTACTAATAGGCAGAATTTTCAGAAACTGAAATATTTCCTATGGAATAATTTCATGGATTAAAAAAAACCCAGAGTGATGTTACCTTGAATGTACAGTTGGCTTGGTTACAATATGGTTTTAGCTTTTTATTTATTTTATTTTTACTATAGGGCATGTGTGTTCACCAGAACAGAGAGAAAGTGAGAAATCAACGCCCCTCCACCCCCCCAGGGGAATGGCAACACTGCAATTCCTTCACCTCCATTTTTCCTCTCTGGATTTTGGCACACATACATGCACACGTGCCTGGCATGTTTTCCAAGCCATTGAGCCCAGGACTCAAATGGTGCAACCAGCCATGTGGGATCCAGGAGCCTTAACCTCTGTGCCACCTGCTGGTCCTGGTTTTAGCTTTTTGTTTAAACTTTTTTTTTTAAGAATTATTTATTTAATTCTATTTTTTATTATAATTATTTTAAGTTTTGACCAGAGAGATACAGAGAGAGAGAGAAAGAGAAACAGAAAGCAAGAACGCAAACTGCCTTGTCTGGGATTGAACCACGGCCAGCCATGTGGAAGTCCAGCATCTTATCCACTTTGCTACTGTTGGCCTCTTATTAGATTTAAAAAAAAAAAAAAAAAGCAGTAGCTCTCCAGAAAATATGAAAGAAGTGAACACTTTCCAACTTATTTTAGGAGGTGGTCAAACCACCAAACCAAACAAAGACTATACAAGAAAAGGAAACTATGAACCAACAGCCCTCGTGAACATCAATGCAAAGATTCTCAACAAATATTGCAAAACTGAATTTAGCAGCATAATATAAATATATAAACTATATATACTATGGAATGTATATATACATGGCCAAAAATGCAAGGCTGGCCAAATATAAAAAATCAATCAGTAGACCTACAAAAATATAGACAATAAATCTTTGAGAAAGGAGCAGTCAATTCAATGGAGAAAGAATAGGCTTCTCAACCTGGTGCTGAAACAACTGGACGCATGGGCCAGTCAGTGGCTGGTGGTTGCGGTAGGCTGGATCCCACATGGCCAATTAGGAGGTTCAAGTCCTGAACTCTAGCTTGGAAGGCATGCCAGACACTTGTGTGTATGTGCATAAAGTCCCCAAATGAGATATCAAGGAGAAGGGATTACAGAATGCCCCCCTCCAACGGGAAGTGCTTTCTCACTTTCCCTCACTCTGTCTCTCTCTGAAGAGTGCACGCTTTCTGGCAAAATTTTTTTTAAAAAGAAATAACTGGACATCCACATACAAAAAGAAGCAGAAGAAGAAGAAAGAGAAGGAGGAGAAGGAAAAAAGAAGGAGGAGGAGGACGAGGAGGAGGACCAGCAGCAGCAGCAGCAGCAGCAGCAGCAGCATCACCTAGGGGCCGGCAGGTGGTGTGTTAAGTCACTGGACTCCCACATGGCCGACCACAGTTCAAGTCCCAGATCTGGCTGCTTGCTTTCTCACTTTCTCTTTCTCTCTCTCTGGTCAAATTAAAATAAAAAATAAAATAATAATAACAAAATAAAAATAAAAATTTTTAAAAAATGAATCTAAAAAAAATTAATCTAAACACAAACTTACGCCCTTCACAAAAATTAAGTCAAAATGGATTATAGACATAAATACAAAATGCAAAACAATAAAATCTCTTAGAAGATAACAGAAGAAAAAGCTAGATGATCTTGGGTTTGACAACAGCTTTTTAGATAACACCAAAAGCACAACTCATAAAAGAAAAAGTTGGTAAATTGTACTTCATTAAAATTAAATACTACTGGGGCCAGCAGGTGACGTAGTGGTTAAGATACTGGAGACCCACGTGGTCGGCAGCATTCAAGTCCTGGGCTCTGAGGCTTGAAAATCACACCAGGCAGGGACCAGCAGTTGGTGTAATGGTTACCATGCGGGACTCCCACGTAGTCGACCACTGTTTGAGTCTGGGACCCAGCAGCTTAAAACTCATGTGGGGCATGTGTCCAAGATCTCAAGAGAAGGGAGAAGGGATTGGGATGTGGCCATGCCCTCCTGGGAGGTGATTCTGTCTCTCTGGCAAGTGCATGCATCCTGTAGCAAAAATTTCTCTAAAAAAATTAAAAAAAAAAAAAAGAAGAAAAAATTAAAATCACACCAGGTGTGTGTGTGTGCCCAAGAGCTCAGAAGGAGAATGGAGAAGGAATTGTGCTGTGACCATATCCCCTGAGGAGTGGTTTCTTACTTTCCCTCTTGCTGTTTCTCTGTGTCTTTTTCTGGCAAGTGCATGTCATATGACCAAAACAAACAAAAATTAAACACTTCTGGTATACAAAAGATATTGTCCAAAAAATGAAGAGACAAGCCACAGACTGGGAGAAAATATTTACAAAAAGTATATCTGATAAAAGAATATTATACAAGGATTTTTTTTTTTTTTTTTTTTTTTTTTTTTTTGTCTTTAAGGTGTTTAAGCTCACTGGAGAGAGAGAGAGAGAAATCATCCTCCAGGGGGATGACCATGCTGCAATCCTTTCTCCTTCATTGTTCTCCTGGGATCCTGGGTGCACGTATACATGCGCCTGGTGAGATTTCCAACCCGCTAGGTCTGAGACTTGAACCATGGTAGACCATATGGGAGTCTAGCTATGTAACTGCTACGCCATCTGCTGGCCGCTATAAGAAGAGCTCTTAACATTCAACAATAAGAAAATGAAGGTCCTGATTTTAAAATGGCAGTAAGATTATGACAGTTGACCAAAAATGGCAAATAAACATGAAAAAATGCTCAAATATGTCATTAGGTAATTACAAATTAAAACAATGTAATACTACTATGTATTTAGAATGTCTAAATTCCAAAACACTGACAACATCAAATGCTGGAGAGAATGTGAAACAATGGGAACTCTCATCCTCTCATGTTAGTAGGAAAGCAAAATGATACAACATTTGGAAGACAGTTTGGTGGTTTCTTAGGAAATGAAGTATACCTTACAGTGCAGTCCAGCAACCTCTCCCTGGTATTTACCCAAATGAGTTGAAAGTTTACATCCACCCAAACATCTGCACTTGGATGTTATGTAACATAATTGCCAAAACTTGGAAGCAACAACCATGTCCTTCAATAAATGGATGGAGGGTCTAGCAGATACTGTAGCTGTTACATCCCTGGACTCCCACATGACCAACCACAGTTCAAGTCCCAGACCCAGTAGCTTGAAAATTGCACCTGGTGCATGAGCGTGCTTGCCCAAGATCCCAGGAGGAGAATGGAGAAGAAATTGTGGCATGCCCATCCCCTCAGGGGTGATTTCTCTCTCTCCCTCTCACTTTCTCTGCCTCTCTCTCTCTCTCTCCCTAGCGATTGTACTTGCCCTAAGACAAAAACCTCTAAAAAAAAAAAGTTAAAACAAATTAAAAAAAAAATGAGTGGATACATAAGCTGTGATACACCCACAGTAGAATGTTATCTAGCACTGAGAGAAATGAGCTATATAGGGCCTGTAGGTGGTGCGGTGATTAAGATGCTGGATTCTTACATGTTCATCTGCAGTTTGAATCCTGGACCTGGTGGCTTGCTTTCTCACTTTCTCTCTCTCTCTCTCTCTCTCTCTCTGGTGAGTGCACATGCCCTATAGCAAATTAGAAAGAATGATGATAATCATAAATAGAATTAAATGAATAATTCTTTAAAAACAAAAAGAGGGAAAGAAATGAGCTATCAACATGAAAAGACACGGAACAACCTTAAAGGTGTACTACCGTGCCAGTGAAACCCATCTGAAGAGGTCACATACTATACGATTCTGATGACATTTTTGACTTTCTGGATGAGGCCAAACCATGGACACAGTAAGATCATGGTTGTGGGGAGGTGAGGGGGGAATGGAGAGGTAGAACACAAGAGAGTTTTGGGCATCCACTCCGAACGCTGCTGTAAGGGTGGATACATGTCATTATACATATGTCAAAACATGTAGACTGGACAGCACAAAGCATGAACCTTAATGTTAGCTGTGAATCTGGTTGATAAGGATGTGTCAATGTTGTTTTATTGACTACAACAAATAAATGTGCCATACTGGTGTGGGTGTTGATGCAGAGGTGTGTGTGTGTGTGTGTGTGTGTGTGTGTGTGTTGCAGGGGTGAATGGTTAAGAATAAGCAAACTGCGATGGATTATATTTTGTATAATGGAAAACCATTCAGGAACAAAAAGGAGCAAACTACTAACATGCACAACAATATGGATGAATCTCAAAAACAGTATTTGGAGTGAAAGAAGCCAGATAGGAAAGGATACAAACTATATAATTCCATTTATTTGAAATTCTAGAAAAAAGCAAAACTAATTTATTTATTTTTGAAGAGTTATTTATTTAAATTTATTTGTTGTTATTATTATTTACTTATTTTTAATTTGACCAGAGACAGAAAGAGAAAGGGAAAAAGGGAAAGCAAGCTGCCAGGTATGAGACTCGAACCAAGGTTTGCCATATGGTAGTCCAGCACCTTAACCACCACACCACCTCCCAGCCCCAAAGCAAAACTAATTTAAAATGGCAGGGAGTAAATCAGCGATTCCCTAGTTACTGACTGCAAAAGGGAGGAGGGAACTTATGGAATGATGGAAGTGTGTATCTTGATGATGTTAGTGGTTATATGAGTATATATATATATATTTTAGAGAAGTTTTTGCTTTAGGGTGTGTGCACTCGCTGCCAGAAAGACATCGAGAGACAGAAAGTGAGAAATAACTCTTCAAAAATAAATAAGTTTTGCTTTTTTCTAGAAGTAGAGGAGAAGAGATTGAAGTTTGTGCCGCATGGTGGATGCTGCTTTTTGACATTTCTCTTTGCTTCTCTCTGGTGAGTGCACACACTAAGAAAAATTTTTAAAAAGAAAGAAAATATGGGAGCATTATGGGTAACTTTTGTTTCAGTATATATAACGGGTCAGGTTTTTACATTTTTTTTTACCAGGATTTGTGGTTAAGCACATTTACACACACAAAGTTGAAAATTCAGTGTTTTGTAGAAACCTAGATACATGTGCACAAGAACATGTATACACATTCAATGCAGCACCATTACAGGAGTGAATATTTGGAAAAAAACGAAATACCCATCAGCATGAGAATAAGTAAATGCCCTGAAGCACGTGCATGTACTTGGGTGCCCTAGATCCTGCTGAGCTGGAGTGCTGGAGAAAGGGGACCGTGGTATGACCAGACTCTGCTGAGGGTGTGTCTCTCGCTCTCTGTTAGATTGCTTTCCTACACATGCACAAGCTCTCCATCATGCATGAAATAAGTACATTTTTAAAAATTCAGGGTAGGAGAGTGGTTATTTCTGGGAGGAGGAAGTGGGGGAAGGGATTGCATGAGTGTGCACAGAGGGCTTTGATTCTATATGCAATTCAAGGCTGGATGGTGGGTATGTAGACTTAATCCTTGTGATGGCCTTATGAAGCAAGTGGGACGAAATGATCCCTGTTCCATAGAAAGTAAACCTACAACGGCAGAACAATTTATTAAGACCTCTATACTGGGGCTGCAGCTGTTCTTCCTTTAGCTTAAATTTGCATGGATATCCACTGAGATTTCTGACTTGAGACATTTTCTTCAAGTCTGGGTGACCTGGTCCCAGCCTGAGTTGTCTCCCTAACTCCTGCTGCCACTCCCTGCCTTGGACGGCACTTAGTGGGGGACACGGGTTGTATAAAGAATAGCCAGTTTCTTTCTGAAATGCTAGGGAGAGCTCTAAGAACACTAGGATGAGGTGAGCACATAGTTACAAGGCAGCCCACAGGAAGCCAGGCCAGCCCTTCTCTCTCTGCTCGCCGGCTCACACTCTGTCCTCAGACATCTCTTAACTTTTTACCGCTTCCATCTACACTCCAGTTAACTGGATGCGCAACATTCACGCATGTTCGCTCAGGCTCCTGGCAAACGCTTTCTAAAATGAGAGATCAATTTCAATTCGATCAAAATACAACAATGTCAACTTTTCAATACAAACTGCATTTTTGAGCACCCCCTCCATGCCTCAAAGATTTAAAAAAATTTTTTTCACTCTCATTTAAATGGTGGTGACCATTTTAAAGGAGAATAAGTTTATATTTGTAAAAGATAAATAACTTTTAAATCGCTAACATACAATTGCCTTTCATTGTTAAAAAATTAAAACAATACCTGCCTGTAGACAGCATAAAAATGAGCAGTTATGTTCTACTGCCCTTTTCGTCTACACTGGCTGGTGAGATTTTGGAAGGAAGCGGTATATTAAACGTAAGGTTTAGAATCTCATTTCAACAATAATGGCTTACGAAAATCTTTTAAGGTCTGAGTATTACGGTATGGAAGAGGAGAAAACCAGTGCGAAGAGAAGCAGAATCCGGAGAACAGGGTAAGATCAACGCGAACCGGTGCGTCCCAGCACCGGGCTAGGATTCCTGACTCGCAGTGGGGTTGCAGTGGCCGTGGTGTTTCCGTGGGAACCCGCCCCAGAGGATCCTGGCAAAGAACCCGAGTCCCCTTCGGTCCAAGCTGTCGGCATGGGCCACAGGTCCCTTTAAGGCTCTCTGCGAGCGCAGAAAGGGGAGCGAAGGGGGGCGGGAGGAGGGGTCGGGAGCGCACGCCACGTGACTCGGCTGCCAAGTTCGCTTACGAGTTTGACAGAAGTTTGAATCGGACTCGGGGGCTTTCTGCAGCCGGCGGGGCAGAGCAGCGGCCGCAGCCTCGGCGAGCGCGAACAGCAGCACCCCCGCGACCCACCGCGCCAGTCTGGATCCCGGC